ATCGTGATTATTATATGGTAGCTTGCACTAGTACGTAGACATCAGTGACACTAACAATGTCATCAGCACATGGTCACAGGTGCCTCACAGGCGAAACCACTCAAGTTGTGATTCAGAGTGCCATTGTCATTGGCAATGATGATGCCAGCGTGATAAGGTTCAAAAGTAAATTAGCATAGAGTTTTAGTCTCAGGCCTATTGCTACATGTAAACTGGGCTCATGGAAAAGGCTTTTGTTATTGCAACAAATTGCAGAATGCTGTTGTCATTAGGTGCCATCCACTCGGTTCCAACAGGTAGCCACCATATGCACAACAGAGACACACAGCCTTGACCTCCACCAGCCTTACATTCGTGGTTAGGTTTCGGAGCCTGTTGCTACAGCACTGTGTCAGTCCATGTCATCGGGGGTCTTCCTCGTTTTTTGTTGACCCTCTACAGTGAATTTCCTTCCCTCATTGCCATCGAGTCAATTCCAAGTCATTGTGACTCTCTAGGACAGGGTAGAACTGCCCCTTTGGATTTCGGAGACGGTTAACTCTTTGCGGGAGTAGAAAGCCTTCTCTGTCTCCCTCAAAGTGGCGGGTGGTTTCAAACTGCTGACCTTGCTGGCGAAGCAGCCCAACGTGTAGCCACTATGCCACCAAGGCTTTTGCGTAATCTCTCAGACTGCAGGAATGTTTTTATATTAAAAAATCGGTTAAAACACTGAATAAAATTCTATGGACAGTCCTCTGGGGTCAGTCCCTCTAACCATGTCACCCAGTGTGGTCTGCACCCCAGCGGCCCCCTAGTGATGCCACTGGAAAGACTATGAATAAGGCCACGGTGGAGAAGGGAAGGCGGGAAGCAAGCACACAACCTAGGTACTCGATGCCCCTCTGCAGCCAGGTAAGGAGCCCTGGGTCAGAGAGCTCCCCAGGGAGGACGAGGCCCTTGTGGTTGCAGCCAGGTAGGGAGCCCTGGGTCAGAGAGCTCCCCAGGGAGGAGGAGGCCCTTGTGGTTGCAGCTAGGTAGGGAGCCCTGGGTCAGAGAGATCCGCAGGGAGGAGGAGGCCCTTGTGGTTGGGGCCCATTGAGTTGATTTTCAACTCAAAGTGACCCGATGGGACAGAGTAGAAGCAGATCGCTAGGTCTTTGGCCCTCAGCAAAGCTGAGTGGGCTCCCACACCAGCCATTCAGGTTCGTAGCAGAGTGCTTAACCTTTGTGCCACCGGAGCTTCTGGGCCCTGTGGGGACGTCCGAATGATGAGGTTTTAGCTTCTGTTGGGCTAGGAGATGTTGGACCAGGTTTTGTGGAGTATGTAAAGCCAGACCGGCCATAAGTGGCTAACAATCTACTTATTTGAGTAATTTTAAGAACACTTGGGTATGTACTGGGAATCCTGGTGGTGCAATGGTTAAGCACTTGGCTGTTAAACAAAAGGTCAGTAGTTTGAACCCACCAGCCGCTCTATGGGAAAAAGATGTGGCAGTTGTGTTCATAAAGATTCCAGCTTTGGACACCCTATGTGCAGTTCTTCTTTGTCCTAGAAGGTCAGTATGAGTTGGAAGGTTCATTTTTAATTGGTCCAAATTTTGAAATTTGGAGCCCATGCTCATTTGGGCCAATAGGCCCCAGCTTGTGAGCAATACCCAGAGGCCTTTCCAAAACTGATGTGTACATTAGGCGAATGTTTGCAGAACAGGTCATCATCCTTACTGCAAACAACTCAAACACGTATTGTTTGAACCCATTCATTGTAATCCCCGCAGTGTAGACACTTAGCCCTCCCACTTCTTCTCGGTTTCCGGGTTCTGTTCCTCCTCCTTCCCTAACACTCTGAACTTGGGTATATGCTGCCTTTTGGTCTTTCGTGGTTGCTGATTCTACCACAGGGGTGAGGGCAGTTTCACACATGGTAGCTCCGGGCCATCGTCTCAGGGGTCCCATCTGTGTCTATGTGACCAGCCTGGTCTGTTTTACGATCTTGAGTTTTGTTCCACATTTTCCTCGCTCTCTATTCAGGACCTCCTAATGCGCACCTCCTTCAGAGTAGTTGGAGCGGAAGCCAGGGACCAGCCAGTTCTTCTGGCCCCAGGTTGTGAAGACTGGTGTTGGCGTGGTTCATCAGCTCATTGGACTTATTGTTAACATATGCCTTTTGATTGTCTTCTATTTCATTTTTTGATGATGTCTGGTTTTCCTAGATTCGTGCTTTGTACAGTCCACCTGTTTGCAGCTGTTGTTTTCTCAATTTGAGCATGCCCATCAGCGCCCAAGTGCTTGCTCTCTCTCTCCATGTCATTAAAGCAAACGATAGTTTGAGGAGTCAGTTCTTTCCATAATTGTATTTTGAGTGGCAATCATATTTTGAGTAGTTTGAGGGTCTCATCTGCTGATATTTTATTAGAAGATGTCCCAGTGCCAGTTTCAGGGTTTTCAGTAGCTAACTCCTCAGAAGTGCACAGCCTGTTTTTGCCTTCTTCATAGTCTGATCTGTCTGGGAGCTTCACTGAAACCTGTTCACCTGTGGCTGTGCCGGCGTTTGAAACCCTGGTAACATACTTGGGAGCGTTACAGCCATAGGAAAAGCCCCCAGAGAATGACAAAATGGACAAATAAATTAGTGGGGACCCAATGGTTTAGGGGCAGTTGTTTTTCTCACTTTACACTAGAGCAGTGGTTCTCAACCTCCATGCTATCACCCTCAAATACAGTTCCTCATGTTGTGGTGACTCCCAACCATAAAATTATTTCCGTTGCTACTTCATCACTGTCATTTCGCTACTGTTATGAATTGGGCGACCCCTGTGAAAGGGTTGTTCAACTCCCAAAGGGGTCATGACCCACAGGTTGAGAACCACCGCACTAGAGGAAACAAAGGCACAGAGAGGTTGTGGAATTTCCCAGGGGCTACAGCTAAGAATTTGTCCTGAGCTTTGTCCGCAGAGCTGAGCCTCCCAATCCCACGCTCGTAACCTGGCGGCTAACCCCTGCCTGCATTTGTTGCCTTCGCCTACCTTGTTGGCGGACAGTAATAAAAGCCCATTAACCACCTTGTGCTTTTAGTTTACATGAAATCAATTTATGTAATTAGCCAAATACACTTGATTCAGTCATTTGGTTTTTAAATTAGTCGTAATATGCCATAATACAATATGCCACGGGATGTGTGGAGAATTGAGACCGGTCTTGAAGATTAGATTGTGTGGGTGGGTGGGGATGGGGGGTGTAAGTGGCTGTACCACAGATGTAACATTTGCGATTTCAACACTTTTCACACACACAACTCGCTGACGTTGATGACATTCCTCCTGTTTAATCATCACCACGATTAGTTTCCATCACCCTCACTGTGAGCTCGGTACCCCCTAAGAAATGTCTCCTTTTCCTCCCAGAAGCTTAGTCTATTCCGGAGGCAGCGAGCAGCTTCCATTGAACCTTTGGAGTGAAGCGCTCCTGCCTGTGCTGGCTGCAGGGAGGGGCTTGCCGTGCAGGGCTGCTGCCCCTCAGCCGGTCCCACAGAGCACCGGGTAGAACTGCTCCATGGGGTCTCCAAGCTACAACCTCGTGGCCGTAGATTACCAGGCCTTTCTTCTACTCACGGTCAAGTGTTCAACGATCATTCCATTGGATTGGAGGAGTAGAGGGTTGGGGGTGGGACCTGAGACATCAAGACAGTCAAGAAGGTCAATACAGGGAACCCAGGGCGGATGAGCCCTTCAGGACCAGTGGTGTGAGTGGCGAAACAGGGAGGGTAGAGGGAGAGTGGGTAGGAAAGAGGGAACCGATTACAAGGAACTATATGTGACCTCCTCCCTGGGGGATGGACAACAGAAAAGTGGGTGAAGGGAGACGTCGGACAGGGCAAGATATGACAAAATAACAATTTATAAACTATCGAGGGCTCATGAGGGAGGGGGGAACGGGGAGGGAGGGGGAAAATGAGGACCTAATGCCGGGGGCTTAAGGGGAGAGGAAATGTTTTGAGAATGATGCGGGCAATGAATGTACAAATGCGCTTTACACAATTGATGTGTGTATGGATTATGATACAAGTTGTAGGAGCCCCTAATAAAATGGTTTAAAAAAAAAAAAGGTCACAGTAGTCAAGGTGAATTGATGAGTGAGCTCTGAACTGTGAGTACAGCAGCGGGGATGGATTCGAGAAATCTCAAGGTCACCTTCAGATTGTGGAGGGTGAAGAAGAGTCGGGATTCTATCACTCTGCCAAGGTGCTCTGGCTCATAGAGCTACTGGAGATCCCATTCACCACCATTCATCCTAACTAACTGAATTTTAGGAACCTTGGTGAGGTAGTGGTTACGCATTGAACTGCTCACTGCAAGGTCACCAATCAAAACCACGAGCTACTCCAAGGGAGAGAGACGAGGCTTTCTGATCCCTAAAGATTTACAGCCTTAGAAGCCCCCATTTAGGAAGCCTTCCCTATAGGAAGATCTCCTCCTGCCTGCAGGGTGCCTATGAGTCAGAATCAATGTGATGACCGTGCATTTCGCTGTGATTTTACAATGATCAGAATAGTTTCTTGAGAAGAGGATTTTTGAATCCACTTCTCTCTCCCTCTTTTTTCTTTTTTTTCATATGGTCGCTGCAGGGAGCCCTGGTGACCCTGCTGGGTACGAGTGCATCGGATTGCAAGATGGGTGGTTAAAACCCACCAGCTGCCCTGGGGGAGACCGATGAGGCTGTGTACTCCCCACAAGACGGATAGCCTTGAAAACCCGCTGGGTGTGGCTTTGAGTCGGAATCGACTGGATGGCAGTGGGTTTGGTTTGACACTCAGGGCTGTTTTCTGGTGGGAACAGCCCTTTCCATGCCTCAGGCATGCTGTTCTTTTTGCAGTAGCCACTGGAGCAGCTCTTTTGGGAGGTCAAATTCAGTCCACACAGGCGACATCTTTGGGCAATCTCCTGGGCCCCTCGGAAGCGCTGAGGTGTACCCTCGGAGGGGATGAGAACATGGGTGCCTAACTAGTGACCTCTTTTGTGTTTCAGGCTGCTCTGGCGGGAGGCACCACCATGATCCTTGACTTTGCCATTCCCCAGAAAGGTGAATCCCTCCTCGAAGCCTTTGCGACCTGGAGAGGCTGGGCTGATCCCAAAGTCTGCTGCGACTACAGTCTTCATGTGGCAGTGACCTGGTGGAGTGAGCAGGTGAGGCACCGGCTGCGTGCCTGGGCTCCGTTCAGCCCAAGGTCTGAGCTCTGACAGATGCGTGCAAGCCTTAGTTCTGACATGGCTTACAGTTTATGCTGAATTGTTGAACATCGAATGATCACGAAAGTGCTTCTGGGTTCACCAACTGCTCCTTGCTGTTGGGATGTAGAATATAGTCCATGTAGTATAGACTCGTATTTGTTGAAAGGTGTTGGTTGCATTTCATATCACAAAGGATTATTGCCGTTGTAGTGAGGTGCCAGCAAGCCCATTTTAACTCACAGTGCCCCTGTGTGCTAGAGCGAAGTCTCTGATTGCAAGATGGGTGCTTAAAACCCACCAGGCGGTTAAAACCCATTGGGTCATTTCTAGGCTGCGTAATCTTTATGATCTTAACCTGTGGCCCCAGGAAGAGCAGACTTCATAGTCTTGCCTCAGAAAGAACATCGCCCAGGAAGCCTTGAGGGAGAGCAGTCTACCCTGTCCTGTAGGGGTCGCTATGGGTCAGAATCAACTGAAGGCACACGCTGACAACACCATCTGTATTGGAGCCAACGCCAGGTCTTACTATCCTAATGCTGGTGGCTGGTGGCTGGGTGCCAGCCATAGCCTTTAATCTCACAGCCAAGCGAGATCCCCATGATTAGCAGTTCAAAACCACCAGCAACTCCAAAGGAGAAAAACTGATCTTTCTACCCCAGTGAACAGTTAAACCCACATGGCAACCGACCGTTGGGTTGTCATGAGTCAGCGCTGACCCAGTGGCCGTGAGTTTGTTGTTGGTTTGGGGGCAAGGAACATTCCTAGACCTTCTCCCACTATTAGCAGACCCACGGGGCCTTCTCACACGGCTCTGCTACTATTACAGCCTGCTCTGACCATTTCCTAACCAGCGCGAGACGCCCGGCTAGGTAAGAGCATGATTCATATAGAAAAGGCATCTTTGGGGGGTGCCAAACTTTGTTCATCCCCAGGTCCCATGTCAACACGTGTGAGTTTGGAAGAAACTTTTGCTTGTCATTTAAACGGGCATCCTAATCTCCACATACCCCACTTCATTTCTGAAATCTTTTAGTCAGAAAAGGTTCACAGAAGCAACTTGATTTGAAAATTACTAGGTAACCTCTGACTGTACCCACCCCCAGCCCTCTAGAAATTGGGATGCAGACACCAAGTTAAAGTAAAACAAGCAAGCAAGCAAGCAATCGTTAACAGAGAGTTTAGCAAATACAACAGCACGGTTCATGGCCCACGACTAAAGTTCATTTTTCTCCCAAACTGCTGTCCTACGTGATGCTGTCCTAAGTGACCTCTTTGATGCCTTTATTCAACCCTTCCTTCCTGCTTCCTACTGACTTCACTAGTGGGGCTGGGGATGTGTGTGTGTGTGTGTGTGTGTGTGTGTGTGTGTGTGTGTGTGTGTGCGCGCGCGCCACACCAGGGGCACTGTCAGATGGTATCTCCTTGCAGTTTTTATTTGCTTTACGGTAGGAGAAAGATAAGTATTTTATGTTCCCGGGCTGTACACAGCATGGAAGAGGAGTGATTATCTGATATCCAGTGGCTACCTTATGTCCACGAGGCAAAGGGACATCCGCCACTCCGTCTGTCTTCCTTTGTCATATTCTGACACACACAACCCTTTCTGCCGCTCTCTACACCTCTGCTGGGCTCGATAGTTCGTTGCAATGGCCACACAGATGCACAGACAAAACTCACAATCATGGGGATTTAGTAGGTTGGTTAACCAGCCAGGATCAGCACACAGTAAGGATACGGTCATTGATCCACAGCAAAACTCCTCAGCCAGCGTCCAAGTCTCTCTCTGTGCCTCTGACCCACATGGTCATTTGGCCTTTGCCTCTTTGGGTCAGGAAGCCAAGTCTGTCATTCTGCCTAATAGCCCCATAACCTCGACATTGCTCCTTTGCTCTGTCCCATGGTCTCTGTGGCACGTCTGTGTAGCCTCTGGTGCCTCTGGCCTCAGCTTCTACCGCTTCAGACAGAGACCTTGAAGGTGCTCCGCGGCTGGTTCTTTTGACCATGATCCTGGGATTTCTCTGAGTTCCTGCTTCTAAGGTTGCTCTGATACACAGAGAAGTGGCTTTGATGGAGGTGTGGTTTTTATTATTTAGCAGATCTTACCATGTGGAAACGAAATGTGTGACCTGATTCACACCCTCAACTAAGGTTGAGACTTAATCCTACTTCAGATCAGCAGAGAACGCCCTCCGAATGGGATTATATATAGCCATGGGCAGAGTCGAGAGCAGTGGTTCTCAACCATCCTCACGCCCTGACCCTTTCATACAGTTCCTCGTGGTGGTGACCCCCAACCATAAAATGATTTTCGTTGCTAATTCAAAACTGTAATTTTGCTACTGTTATGAATCATAATGTAAATATCTGATGTGCAGGATGTATTTTCATTGTTACAAATTGAACATAATTAAAGCATAGTGATTCATCCCCAAAAGAATATGTCATTCTATATTGTGAAATATTTATTTCTAATGACAAATAAATGAAATGTTGTCTTGAAGCATGGTGTAGCATGGGTAACAGTCTTCATGCTGGGTACTCGTATGTGGGCATATCTGCTTGTGGATGGGCCTGCCTGGAGATGGATAGAGGAGCGGTGTCTCAGTTCCTAAGACCATCAGAAATAAGTGTTTTCCAATGGTCTTAGGCGATCCCTGTGAAAGGGTTGTTCCACCCCCAAAGGGGTCGTGACCCACAGGTTGAGAATAGAATGTACCATACATTACAGGAGGAACTGGGGCTCGAAGGGCCATATTAATTGGTTACATATACCATTCTGTAATGACTTACACTCCCAGGAACTCACAGGGGCAGATCTGTTTTGCCTTATGTGGTTGCTGTGAGTCAAAATCAACTTGATAGCATCAGGTTGGGTTTTTTGTTTGTTTATATGTTTAGTTATGGCTAATGTTCATGAAAATATTTTTATGTTGGTTGGCTGCTTGGATGCCCTCTTTGGTGAAGGTCTGTTCGTGTCCCCTTGCCATTAGAACCCTCTAATGTGCTCTGGTTCCAGCTGTCATTGTTACCCAACAACAATTATACTTCTAATCGCATGATTTTTGCCTTCACTTATGCTGTTTTCATTGTTGCCCATATTTGTATAGTCAGTGATTTTGTCAAATATCCTGGTATTTTAGCTATTGTACTGTGGTATTACATATGTATCTACAGTAGTAACTTTTTTAGAGTATTAAATATGAGAATGTACAACCCCCCCAACGGATTTTTTTTTTCAAAGCTAGGTATTTAAATTTTTTTACAAAATGACCTTATCACCTTCAAAGTACTCTCTGTTACACTTAATACATTTGTCAAATCTGCGATTCTATTCTTGGAAATGTTTTTCAAACATCTGTTTGGATGGCTGGCAAAATCTCCCTCATTTTTTCTTCACCTCTTCTACATCATCAAATCACTGTCCTTTCATGTCCCTCTTCCTTCGGGGAAACAAAAAGGAGTCACACAGAGTGAGGTCAGGTGAGTAAGGAGCATGGAGCAAGAGAGGCATGCTGTTTCCCCCCCAAAATCTGGTGCACTGAGATGGCTACATGAGCAGGTGCATTGTCATGGTGACAGGACCAATCTCCCATCTGCCACAAATCAGGCCTTTTTTGTAGCACCCTGTTACTCAGTCTTTTCAGAACCTCTAAATAAAAAGCTTGATTAAGTCTGACCTGGTGGAATGAACTCCAAATGCACTCTAAGTCAACATTTTTGTCTGTTTGGGAAGTTGATGGACGTCTAGACCGAGGTTTGTCATCAATTGACATTTCACCATTTTTGAAACAAGAAAACTACTCGCTCTATGAATTTTTCCCATAGAGCTTGTTTTCCTTGTAAGCTGTGTTCAAAATCACAACAGTTTTACAGCATCCCCCGCCCCCCAAGCAGGAAATAAAACTTCACAGCCGCATGCTATTCCCTTAAATTGGCCATAACAAAAAACATGGTTTAATCTAAACAGCTTTTACCAAAAAATTCACTGTGACCAGGTGATGCCACTGGGTGCACTAATTCAGAGCGAGTTGCTTGATTCTTGTCTAGAGGGGAAAATGCGTAATATGAAAACTCCACTCTGCCCAGTGAAATTCCTTATTTTGGGGGGGTACACCTGCATAATAATTAAAAGACAAGGGGAAAAAATTAAAGGCATCCACTGAGTTATTAATAATACAATTCCATGTAGAAAGACTTTACAAAATGATTACAATGTAGACATTTATATAACCTAAGAAATGTTTTAGGAGCCCTGGAGGTGTAGTGGGCTGCTACCCCCATGGTCGGCAGTTCGAAACCACCAACAGCACCGTGGGAGACAGACTGGGCTTTCTACTCCCGTCAACAGTTACAGCCTTGCGTGATTGACCCCATAGCAGTGAGTTACTGCTGTTGACCTCACCTCCGACCTTTGGGTTAGCACCTGAGCACTCAAGCACTGTGCCACCAGGCTTTCTAACTACTTGGAATTGCATTTAAAATCTACATTAAAGTACCAGCTCCTGAAAAGTGCATGTTGATAACACATTTGTGTCCTTGTTTCTTTCCCGTGGGTTTTAATCATTTGAAAGCTGGTTTCCATCAGTACTTTAATTTCCCCCAAGTTTGGGGGAAACGTATTGCCTAGTTGATTTATTTTCAAAGAGTTTTAATAAGTTTCGAAAGTGTTTCCAAAAAAAATTACCTGAAATGACTTCAAACCCTGAATTAATCTGGGTAAAAACAAGCACCCTGGCTTCCTTTATAACAAACTTTGGGCCCGCCTCATCTCTTGTCACGCCCCCAGGGCTGCCGCCTCCCTTCCTTCTCAGCAGCACATCTGCCCTCCCCCTTGGGGGGAATTAGAAACTGCAGCCTTTCACAGATCAGCTCTGGGTCATCCAAGGGCAGCCTTGCCCGCCCTCCCCCCTGCTCTGCAGAGCTGAGTCTTCCTCCCCCAGACCCTGAGCTCACAC